CTGTGCATTGCCAGGAGACCCTTGTAGCTTTTAAAATGTCTTTCCCCTTTACAATGCACAGCTTGGTGGAGGGGGAGAAGGGGGCAAATTTCTTGTCACACTCACAGAAGTGTCTAATATAGCAGACAAGGCAGACCCTGGTTTTAGGGCCTGGATGCTAATCTGTTATCACCACGAACAGCCTTCCCAACAGCACCTCTGGTTCTCCAGTTCACGTAAGGAGACGAAGTAACAAGTCTATGACTATTCCCTAATTCCAGTTCCTACAACCTCTTTGCAGCCCCACTCTACTTAAATGCGGACATATGTCCCAACAAACACTAACCTAAAAGGGTAGCAATAGTCCAAAATTCAGGCAAGGACTTGAAGGTTGCACACAACACTGTGCTCAAGCCCACTGCCTATACTGCTGCTCTCACTGCCATCGTATCCTACTTCCCATCCTGAAGTTTCCGCTCCTCTGCTCCCAGTGACCCACACAAACCAGTGGTAAAACACAAGCAATTTGTCAGAGAAAGTGGTAATGTCTCCAGGCACAAACCACTGCCTGGAGCTCAGAGAGACCTGCCTGGCAAAGTCTTCCAGCCACAGCTGGTAGGGGATAGCCAGCAACAATAGTCAGGGAAACTTTTCAAAGTGAAGTGTGATGGATCTTTAGGCTCAACAGTGCCCCAGTAAACAAACTGGAATTCCTTTTACAGTGTGAGAAATAGCTCGTCCTGTCTGTGTTAAAGGTTACCCACAGAAAAGGGACATAGTTAACATAAAAGATCATTGAGTTCAAAATAATTCCCCTTCTCAGTTACCACCAACCATGGTCATAGCTGGCCTGATTTTACGGATTGCTTTGCAATTTCAATTGTGCAGGAACCAGCCCTGGATTTAAGACTGCCAAGTCAGCATATTTTGAAGCATATTTTAATGTTTATGAGACCATGGCAGAGCAGGTTCAGCTGCACCCACTACTGGTAGTGTCAGCAACCAAACTCTTCCTGGTAAGTGTACATCTGGTCCAGGATATCTCTACAGTCTTGTTTCTGAGCTCAAGCTTTCCATTAGCTGCCTACACAGACTGGGTAACTTGGCATCTCTCTGCATTCCCCATAAACTCTGTTCATCTGTTGCCATCACACCCACGTACAAGTCTCAGGAAGGAATCCAGGGTTTCTAAAGCAGCTGCAACAAAAACATAGCCTGGATTGACAAGCAATAGGATCAAGGTACTGAGCCAGTGAGGAGGGTCTTTTTGGAGAGTTTTTTGTGTGTCTATTTAAAACAAGTTTGTTGTCATGACTACAAACCAGAGTACGGGTGAGAAGTGAGAACTCCGAGATGAGGGCTGATAATATTAATTCTCAGCAGCCACAGGGATGGGGAAACAATAAAGATAATAGAAGCTCTTGGCATCTAACAAGGCTAAAAGCCACCTTCAGAGGGCAGGTCTATCCTAATAATGAACGTTGTCCTCCTAGACAGCCCCTTTCACCCAACACAGCAAAGGGCTGGATAATACCAATGAGCTCTAGAAGCAGGGACACTGGTCACATGGAGGCAAACAGGCATCCAAGGCCTTAGAAAGGATATAGCAAAGCAGGAATAGCCTCTCAGGAGACTCATCTGCAGGTTCACCCTAACCATCAGATAACTTGGCTTCAACCAGGACAGTGAGATGTTCTCATGTCTCCATGCAAGGCAATTAACAAGAGATCTTAATAGCACAAAGTGTGAAACTGTCAGGACCTGCTCCTGGGATTGTCACACTTTTTAACTCTACCGGAAGATTAATAAAAAAAATGGGATTTTGGCCAGTGAAGAACAAATGAAGAGAACCCTAAGCGATTGTGGACGGATGGAGAGAGGCAATGCCTTCCTCTGCTCAGAGCTTGGATTCCACACAGAGACAGCGTGGAATGCTCAGCGACTGTGCAGGCTCTGCAGAAGGCAGCAGATGCAGAGCTAATGTGCGTGTGGGGGTGGAGAGTGTTTATGAGCACAATAAATAAATGTATGAATCCCTATAAAAGTTCCATATAAAAGTGAGTTAGAGCTGCCCGAGGGCCATGGCCTCATAATAAAAAACACATCTCGCAAGCACAGTATGAAGCAGCAGCTGTACTGTAACTGCCTGGCTGCAGCACTGAAAAGCCATGAGTCTGCCTGCTCCCACACTCTGGGGTGAAGTGCTGACCCCAGGAAATGCAGGAGGAATGGTACTTCCATCGGCATAGTAAGGAGTTTGCCCTAGGAGGGGCTTCTTTGAACCTCAAAGCCTAGGAAGCAGTTCTGGATCTGTCTTTTTGCCAAATTCAAGTTCTTCTTAAAAAAAAAAATGCAATGTGCAAGTGGCTGGAGATACTGGTTTGATTCACCAACAGTTCCCAGTGTGACATATTAGAGCTGGATCGAAACAAATTTAAAAATTCTCCAGAAAGCATTGACAGTGACTTCTCTCCCCCAAATTGAACAAGCAAAAAGCACTGCTTTATGGCAAAGCAGCACTTTTCATCAAGAAGTTTTGAATTTTTAATTTAAGATGTTGGGGGAGGGAGGGGCACTAAAAAAACCCAAACCTGCTTTTTTGTCACTAAACCTAGATGAAAGTATTTAAAAAATATCTCCCCACAGAAGAGAGAGAAAGAGAGAGAGAGAGAGAAAGAGAGAGAGAGAGAGAAAGAGAGAGAGAGAGAGAAAGAGAGAGAGAGAAAGAGAGAGAGAGAAAGAGAGAGAGAGAAAGAGAGAGAGAGAAAGAGAGAGAGAGAAAGAGAGAGAGAAAGAGAGAAACATTCATAATAATTACTTCCCCCTCCCCAACCCCCCAGAGGTAAGGGGGTAAAAGTGCTGACCCTTCCCTTGCTCTGTTTGCTGTCATACTTCCACCACCCCAGAAAGAGACTTGCAGACTCCCTGCCTGTAAATTCCCAACTGTCCTATCACTTTCTCCAGAGCTTTCTCTTGCTCTGCTGCTCTCCCGGGAGCAGAGGCCCACGTGTCTCAGCTGAGAAGGGTGGCTATCAAACTTCAGTCCCAGCCCATGAGTCACAAGCACACTGGGCACGTGAACCTTTGGCCACCCATTTCCACTCTTAAGTGCACATAATGCCAGGTCATATCTCCCAGGGAGAGCTGCAACTGTTCCAACACACAGACTTTCACATGGATGCCAGTCAGAGCCAAACAAAACGCTCTCCTCTCCTACCAGCACAGAGCTGCTGGGAATAGCAACCTTGTTCCATGACAAACAGCAACTTGCAATTCACTGCAGGGCTAATTGCATTACATTGCGGATATAACGCTCAAGGAAGACGTCAGCTCCTTGGCTTTGCCCACAGGCAACAAGGACATTATTGATTTATTCAGGACTTAGGACTACTTGTCACAGGTTGCATTCTCTTTGATAATAAAGCCTTACAGGCAAGGCTTAAATTTCAGCTGCAGCCCTAATTGAAACATAGCTAATTATTGAAGGTCTGCCTTTACATCCCATTCCCTTGTTACTGGGGTAATGTTCTGTAAATCCAACAGTCAAACTCTCCTCTCCCTTAAAAAAAAAAAAAAAAAAAAAAAAGAAGGAATAAACCCCCATCTACTATTCAAGCAAGTCCAGTGGGAAATTACAGATTCCTCTCTTTGAGCCTGAGGTAGCTACCAGCCAAGAGCCCCATCCCACAAGGACTCAATGACTTCAAAGGATGCTTGTAGAATCAGACTCCAAATTAAGGCCAAGGTTTGAGATGGGGGAGAATTCAATGTGGCCAAAACAAACATCGAGCCTGGACCACAAGCAATTTACCTTGCATTCACCCTTTGAGTGGAAGCATACCCTATGAGCCCCAGCAAATTCAAATACAGCCCACAATTTAGGTGTGATCAACAATTACAGTAATCTAATTCCCAACTGCTGGCTTGCTTGATTGTACAACAACAAACGTACTGCAGCCCAGACACGTGGATTAGCAGTTGGTCACAGCTAACCAGGTATAAATGAGCACTCATCAGAACAGACAGTCCAGTTATTAGCTGAATGATAACGGGACCCCCAGGGCACCAAGGACATCCTTTTGCGGAGCCTGCATGAAGCTTTTGGCTTTGCAGTTCAAGCCAGACACAGAAGCAAGATTATCGCCTCATAAAGCAGGGACGAAATCCCACCCGAACTTTAGTATTGCCAGGATGATGCCAGCATCAGAGTAAGCTCCCTTAGAGAAGGTGACATTTGCACACACAGCCCCCCCCAGCACAAAAGTTTATGACATCAAGAGAGCACTGCAGTTTAGAAGCAAGTCAACCCTAGAAAAATCCTTGAGTTATAGCTGCTTCACATTTCAACCTGGCAGATGGAAGGAATACCACAAAGCAAACATGTCAGTTAAAGCAGCTAAAAGCATAATTTACAAACTAGAATTCGCAACCCAAATTCTCAGCAGCTATAACACAGTGTTCTGCAGAGCTGTGTTGGCTTCAGCCAGCTACAGATCTGACCCAAAGCGGTTACCAGATACAACCACAGTTTTTGGTACAGAAGCAAATACTTTGCTCATTCTGTGCAAGTTTAAAGCAGCCGGTCCTCCCCTGGAGGATGTAATCCTGCAGAAGTCAGTTTAGCAGTTGGGGGGCCATTTCAAAGAACGCAATGCTGGTTTTACAGGTCCTAGTTTGCCTGTCTCAAAGAGAAGATCCTTTAATCCACAGAGCAAGGATAGTGCAACTGGCAGCAACTGCAGCACCTGCTGCAGCACCTCGGCTCAGCCCCTGCTGATGGGGCAGGGATGGCCAGGCTGGGCCCTCTTCTGTCCCTGGCTGCTCTGAAGAGGAATTGAGAGAAAGGCCCCAAGCTGTAGTGATAATTATCACTTGCACACCAGCATCCTGGGAACTGGGAGCATGGAGCACATTCCTCCTAGGCTGTATTTTAAATGCAGGGAAAAGCTAGCACAGAGGAAATTAACTGGAGGTTAGACTCTTTGCTCACAAGACAGACAATACATCAGTTGTTCACATACCTGATCAAATAGGGCTTTCCAGTGCTGAGAGGCAATGCATAAGGGAGGAAAAAGAAGAAAAAGAAGGTTTAAGAGCAACGACATTAACATGCAGTAAACTGCAGAAGTATATTCTAACAGAGAAATAACCAAATGATTTAGTGCCATTTCCAACATCCTTCTTCATCCCAGAATCACCTACCCTTCCGGGGGAGGAGGCAGGGGGAATCTACCAAACCACAGGGAGGACAGTTTTCATTTACAAATCCAAATTAGGATGAACTCAGAACATTCATGTGTTAATTCTGTTTTCTCCCTCTTTGTCTACTTGCAGGCAAGCAAGGAATAAAAGGCTTTTTTACTCACAGGGATCAAGAAAGCTTGGTGTATATTGAAGGGAGGGAGGAGTTAGCAATGGTTTTTCAGATCACTTTCTGAGGCCCCGTGGCCCAACATTGACCCACAAAACGCCTTGCAGAGTTGTCGGAGCCTTGTCTGCTGCCTTCTCCTAACTCTGGCAGGGACTTGCTGTAACGTCCTTGATAACCCATCACTTCTTTGAGCCTCACATGTCCACATCTTAAAAACAGGTAATTCCTCTTGCACAAGGCAGAAGGGGGGGAAGGCTGAAGTAAGCCCATTGCATGAATTTACCCCACAACTTTTGTTCTAGCAGATCTGCCTTAAAAGCTCTGTAGAGGAGAAAGCTCCACTTCAACACCGATGACCATGTGAACACTCCACAAGTCCTTGTCACTTGGGAACAGAAAAAACAAGCTGTCGACTGGCTCTGATTTATGCTTTGTAGAAAAACCGAAGTCAAGTCACCTCCCTGCCCCAGGCTTGCTGCCTCACTGTCTCCCATAACGGAGGAAAGTCTTAATGAATTGTTTAAGGCTCTCTATCATCTCTCCTGGATTTGGGGGCCAGCTGAGAAGAGAGCTACTTCCATGGGGCAACAGTGGGGTAACCACTGGGTTGGGGTCCCCAGAAAAAACCTTGTGTGTTTCCAGCTCTCCTGTCTGAAGCTGTTCAGCACATTTTTGTTTCTGCCTCATTCACCTTCCCAGAAAAGTAAAATGAGAAAAACAACAAACATCAGACTCATACAAGCAAATCTCACTGTGCTATATGCAAAGCAGCGCTCTGGTCAGTTTTATCTGGTCCTGGAAGAACATTTCCTTCTACCTGGTAGGCAGATCTAAAGCAGAATTGACTGGAGAGACAGCAGGGTATCAGGCCATTGAATTCTATTTAATCAGTTAAGTTGTTGGCTCCCCTTCTCCCCATGCCTCTATCCATTTATAAACTCCCATTTATCATCATAAAGCAGCCCAGCACTTGAAACAGAACATTTTGGGACTGCCTGAATCCTGGCTTTGTGGAACGCTGCTCTGAGAGCTATAATGACATCACAGCCGAGCTGTTACACACTGTCAAGGCTGGACAGCCAAACCTTCACTACATAATGTTTTTGTGGTTAATAACACATAAAGAACTGACCTTGTGTCGGTTCTTGCTGGCCAAGCCAGACAGCTTACATCAAGCTTTCAAATGGAATAATAACAACAGAAAATCAACCCCCAGTCAGGTCTCAGGGGAGGGCACGCTCTTAGCACAGAGCAGTTTGGATTTGCAGAGTTGATGCTCAGGAGCCTGCTTGTTTCAGCAGGAAATTTTGGTGGTGGAGGAGGAGGGCATTTACACCACTTCCTGCTCTTCTGACTTGCAGATGACATACGATACCTCAGGCTTCTGTCACATCATCTGCTGCCAGGTCTCAGCAGCTTCCCATAACCAGTGCAACTGTGGGCTCCAGCCCCATTTTGTTGATTGCAGAAAACAAGGTACCAGAGTCAAATAACAATGCAGATCCCAGCATAAGTAACGGCGAGACACCGTGAGCTGGACCAGACCCAAGCTGTCCTACCTCAAGGTCAAGCAGCAAGTCAGTAACAGAACTAGGATGAGAATCTAGATTTCATCAAGGAAAGCTCACGGTCTCTCTCCTGCCTCAGGAGCGCAATCCAGCCTGGCGCTCAGCACTTCAGTGTCTCCTGGGCCCCTGGCAGGATTGAATTGCTAATGGCTGCATTCGTGTAGAGGCTGGAGAAACTCCAAGGGGCCCACGTGTATCACAACAGGAAATCTTTTCTTGTAGACCATCCAGACAAGCACAAAATTTGTCAGGGAAGGAAAGGTCACAAGCAGAGGTAAGCAAGCAGAGGGATTTGGAAACCTGGACTGTGAAAGCCCCTGCACAAGCCACCCTTTCTGAGCAAAAGCTACACGTGCCCCTGGGTCAGGCACCCTCCTCTTAGGGCTGTCTGGCAGTGCTGGAGCCGAGGTCAAAACTGCATCACACCTTCCCAACTGGCTGTGCCGTGCCGGGAATACAGCCTGGGGAATGCAGCTCCACCAGGCAACTGCATTTCCTCCGCTGCCCTCTGGGAGGAAAATCCAACGGCAACAGAACCGTAGGTGACTCAGAAGGAAGGGCTGGGGGATGAGGAGCGGGCACTGTCCTTAAGCAGCCCGAGGCGGGTTCCTCCAGCAGTGTCATATAAGTAGAGGAGAAAGGGGATGTTGCCGTTGCTGGAGGCTTAGTTCACAAGTGTCCCTTTCACGCCGGTGCAAGACCCGAGACAGAGCCCGGTTCAGAAAGGCATTTAGTATCACTGCTTCATCCCTCCAGAGGCAGGAACAGAGCCTGCGCTTAACCTCTGCAGACTGAGCACTTCGCACAGTCCTCATCCCAGCAGAGTTTGCCGGGAAGGAGAGCTGCGAGCAGTGCTGGGATGCACCGGGAATGCAGGATCTGCTCAGGATCCCTCCCAGACAGGTGCACAGCGAGCCCCTGCCTCCGGGACCGGGAGATGGAGAGCTACAGCCTCAGCTCTGCAGGCTTCGCTGCTCAGCCCGGCGGGAGCAGATTCAAAGCACGCAGGACCACTTGGTGTCCTTCTAGGCTGGATGAGTAGAGGCAGAGACCCGCTGCCAAGTTATCCCACCCTCAGGTGCAATCCCAGCTCAGAGGGTGGAGAGAAGCTATCAGCCCTGCCGAGCCGGGGGAAAAAAAAAAAACAAACCAAAACTTCCTCAGCTGTTTGTTGCTCGGGGGCTGGAACAGGGAGCAGGATCCCGAGAGCGTTTCACATCTGTCACCCTCCGAGCGGCCGGGACTCTGGAAAAGCTCTGTGTCCCCAGGGAAGCCCCTCAAGCCCAGGCGTCAGCCCCTCTCCAGCCTCTAGAGCTGCTGCTGTGCGCAGCCCCCCAGCCCCTGCCCGGCCGGGAGCCGGCATCTCCCCGGCGGCGCGGCTCCGGGCGCGGACACCGGGCGGACGGGCAGCGGGGCTGGGGCAGAGCGGAGAAAGGAGCTGCGGCTCCGGGGACCGAGAGGGCCCGGCGGCTACCGGAGCCAGCGGGCAGCCCGGCGGCGAAGGGCGCGCAGAGCGGCGGGGACAGCGG